TTTTGCTCCTCCCATCACCGTCCCTCCCCGCCCGCTTCGCTCTTTCCGCCCCCGCCTTGAGCCGGCAGCGCCGGCACGCCACCTCACGGAGAGCGCGAAAGCCCCAGGCCCGCGTGCCAGGGAAAGGTGGCGTCCGACCTCGCACCCGCTTCGCGCGAGCTGCGCCGCCTACATGCAGCGAAAGTGCAACGGGCGGACGCTGCTTTCCATCAGATACCGTCACAGGGGAAGCGGAACCGAACGAAGGCTGGCGAAGAGGAGTTACTCTTAGAAGGGACTAGGGTGACAGGACGCGAAACGTTGGAACGTCATGTCGGGGGTCGGCATTGCAAGAGGTCGAAACCATTTTCAAATGAGCCAACTGTAAGCGACCACGTTGATGAATTCAGAGCATGAACACAATCAGCAGTTTTGTTGCCATAGTAGGCAAACAGTGTCTATCAAAGGGCTGTACTATCTCTTTACAGTAATCTCTCTATAACGAGACGATAAACTGAAAAACGAGGAAAGATGGCGAAGAGGAATGACAACGAGAGCCCTTTGCCTCGGGTGAGTGCACTGCATGCACTTGTGATGCGACGTCGATAACAAAACATCGATGTTCACAATTAAAACCTACATGTTGCAAATACGTGGACTAAAAACGATGTTTTAGCCCATGTGTTAGTAACCTCTAACATTAAATTGGTGTGCATTAAAATTTAACTTGACAGTGTTCGTGTTTATCAATTCGCCGAATAAGGGTACCACAAGAAGGGGCAGACCATAAACCACTACGTATTCGTTGACCACATTTCAATGTGCGAAATGAATATGAAGAAAGGGAAGTAAAGCCGGCTGTTCCATGTTGTAGTTACTGCATGTAAATCATCCTCAAGCTTAAAACAAGCCTTTGAGATAAATTCAAAGCAGATGTTCGTCGCCCAGTGATACCTCCTTTCTCCTCTAGTGGGTGAAAGGAGCGTACCGAAATTTGCGTGGTCGGACGGTGACCTTAACCTCTCCCAGTCGGCTGACTTCTCCGACGCCGGGTAGATGATTGATTGATTGATTGTTAGACATTCCTAGCGCGTCAACTGCTAAGGTCATTAGTCACGAAAGTGTAGTGCGCGCTGTTCCTCGGGAGGACTTCCTCGGATGGCGTCAACCTATGGTACTCGGCTAGCGGGGTTTTCCCTAACCAGGTATCTCCCAGCAGCGCGAGATGGATCGCCCCAGTCGGGATAAGCTCCAAGCTCGCGACCGGTCTCCCGGCATGTGTGACAGTGCTTGTATGTGGGGTGAGGATAGGACAAGGAAGAGGGAGGAAAGATCGCGCGCGCTGCGTGTCCCGTTTGTCAGGGCACTGCTCCGGCATTCGCCTGGTGTTTAGATTTAGACAAAAAACAGTAAGAACTGTATGTGGCTTATTGGGGAGAAGATCTGCGCACGTTTTCTTGAGTTCCAGAATCCCTTCCCATCATTTTAACTATAAATAGTTGAAAGATGAGTAAAAGTTTAAAATAATTAAAAATAAATTTTAAAAAAGCGCGAGATTAGCAATATTTGAAAAAAACTAGACATTTTCGTTCCCGAGTTATAGAAAACTTATTTGCATTGGCAAGCGAATTGCAGATATGATTTTTCTGCATTGCTAACGAAAAAGTAACTCGCCCTTACCTCTACTCCTACCATTGAAGGCAAAAGGAGAGTTCAACAAAATGTGCGCATAGTGAAACTACATTTACATCTAGAAGCAAAACAAGGGTCCATCTCATGCAGCATCTGCTCAATGGATGAGGGAAGCTGGACGAAACCCTGATCGCTGTGGATCGCGTTGAGCTACCGGGGCCCCGCCAGTGTGACAGTGGCAGCGGTGTGATGTTGTGGTGCGTGTTGCAGAGTGGGACGGGCCGGGCGAGCATGAGCGCGTGCGGCGCCAGCTGTCGGTGTCGAGCGACTCGAAGCTGCTGGACGAGGACATCCGCGAGGAGGCGCGCGTCATCCTGCGGCCCAAGAAGCCCCCGCGGCCCAAGTCCGAGGTCTACCTCAACAAGGAGCAGCAGCAGCGACGCACCAAGCGCTACTCCGCCTTCGGGGTAAGTCACCTCCTCCAACACTCTCCTTTCTTGCTAGAGATTTTTTTTTAATTAAAAAAAAAATTAAAAAATAAAATTAAAAAAACGTTTATTGGTATTTAACCCTTGTTACCATGCAACAATTTGTTTGTTAAGTACACTTGTAGTTTAAGAAATTTAAAATCCTTTGCAACGGGTTTTAACATCCTTAGTAACCTAAATAAATAACCACCGATTCATCAACCAACGTTCAATTTGCCAGGTCCGGATGGCCGAGATAGCTAAGGCAGTAGTGCAGTAGCGATCTCGGACCCGAGGATCGCGGGTTCGAGTCCCGCCTCGGGCATAGTTGTATTTGACCTCGTATGTGCTATATAAGGCACGGAGTCACCTCCACGCTCTCCTACTTGCTAGAAAAAACGTTTATCGGTCACATGCGTTATTAACCCTTTTTTAACATGCAGCCCTATAAGTTTAAGTGCAATAATTATATGCGTCGTCATTGCCAACAATATTTAACGACTACCGTAGTCGTTTTTGTGGCTTTCATACAGCAGAAAACTGATGATGATGGCTAAACAATCGAAAGCTGCTATTTTAATAAATAATATTGTTCACAATGACGACGTATATAATTATTTCATTGGAAATGCCAACGAAAACTCACCACAATACCTATATTGTTAAGTACACTTGTAACCACCTGTGGGTTAAAAAAATTTAAAATCCTTAGCAACGGGTTTTAACATCCTTAGTAACCTAAATAAATAACCACCCATTCATCAACCAACGTTCAGTTTGCCGGTCCGCATGGCGGAGATTAGTAGTGCAGTAGCGATCTCGGACCGAAGGATCGCGGGTTTGAGTCCCGCCTCGGGCATGGTTGTATTTGACCTCGTATGTGCTGTAGAAGGCACGGATGTCAGGAAATCAAGGTATTGCGTAATAATCAAAGTTCATGTCCGGCCGCACCCTTGCGTGGTAATTCAGGTAGCGGTCTTACCCTTTTCTTACACTTCTTACCACGGCTGAGACTGTGCTTTCGCTGGATCGGGATAGACATGGGTTTGATCATAGTAGCCGAATGTTCCAAATGACAATCTTCACGCAAATTAAAAATTGGGCTGCCGAAATTTCAAGCACCCAATTTATTACTATTTAAAATTCACACATTTATATAAATTCACAGTTAATAAAAGTTTTACAATTAAGTTCATTTTATAGGTTTTATTTTTCTTCTGCTTCGTGTAGTTCGATAAATGAACTAACTCTGATAATTCCATAATGAGTGCAAATGGGCCAATGCCCTTTTCTGTATCTTTTGTATTGTTGTATTTGTATTGCAAGTATGCAATGCTGAATTGTTCGTTTAACGCCCTGTCTTTCACACGCTGAAGTTGTTTCCTCGTTCGTCGGTATCAGGAGTTGAGTTGTTGTATCGTTCGTGGCGTGAGAAGCCCCCAGCTGAACGCGTGTTCACCCCGAACTGTTTCTCATCGCCCAGGGCGTGAGGCGCGTGTCGGCTGGCCCAGCGATGAGTGATGCAGTTCGCCCGCAGGCAGTTAAAGCTCAGCGGCCATGGCTATGCGTCGCACTTCGAACAACCATCTCCTTCCCAAATTCGTACCCCAACTTTACTCGTACTGAAGTTGGCGACGGTCCGCGCGATTTCAGAATAGTGGGCTTTAACGGGCACGCCCGTAGATTACCTCTGGCCAAATGACGGTCAAATTATGAAGCCTTTTTAAAGACGCGAACACTCGAGACGTAGGGTTTCGCTGGAAAATTTCACTCCACACGTAATGTCACTATTTCCGAAAAAGCTTCGCCCTGGATTGTTGCACTGAGCTCTGTTTTACTGAGCTTCGCCCCGGATTTACAAAACGTCTCCGCTTTTTGCCTGAAAGTCCCTCTCCCCCTTAATGGCGACTTTCGTTTTCATTTGCTGATCTATAGCTTTCGCGCGAGTTTCTAGTTACCGTTCGAGCCTAATTCGTGTGTGGCATATGAGAAAAGTTTCGGATGCTATGATTGGAGCTAATCCCTTCTGGAAAATTCTAAGAGTTGCACGTGTACAATAGTGTCATCATGAACAATTTTCCACTCGTTTTTCTAAATTTGACCTATTTGTCTTTCGCCATCAAAACTTCCTTATATAGAAATCAAGTAATTTTCTCATAATTCCTTCGTTAATGTCATGCAATTTATAAAAAAAAAATATTTGTAAAAAAAACAGCTCCAATTTTTTTTTTCTTTAGGTTTTTTTTCGGATAGAATAACTGATGCGTGCAGTCGTTTTGAAGTACTGAAACTTGAGGGGTTACCTGGGAAAAGGCCATAAAAACGTTTTATTTGGGTGTGTTGTCGACCTCTCAGTCCCTGTGCCACTTCTGTAGAAAAATTTCTGCAGTTGAAATTATTTTTTAGTAATTTATCACCAGATTTTATGTATTGTTTTCATGTTAACGATTCACGTTAACTCTTTATAAATCTTGAAGAGCCCTTATTTTTATTGTCGTCCATGGGGTATCAGTGCATGTAGCACATTCTATGACCTCACCGTGCCTTGTTGCAGGGCGACTCCCCGTTCGGGAAGTCGGAGGCGTACATCAAGCTGGAGCCGCTGGGGGAGGGGTCGTACGCGACCGTCTTCAAGGGGTACAGCAAGTGAGTGGAAGATAAATAGGGCTTTACGTAGGTGACAGGCTCGCTTCAGAGAGACTGATGGGTATATCTCGACACACACACACACACACATACACATACACACACATACACACACACACATATACACACGTGTGTAAGAGAGAGAAGTGAGAAAGAGAGAGAGGAAAGTAGTGTGCGAGTGTAGACTGCGCGCGCGTCAACTACCTAGTTGATTGCTCCGTCCAGTTTCACTGAACAAATGCTGAGACAGCCTCTTATTTTTCTTCTGGACATAAATGTACGAGTAGCTTCAGTCTGCTCACATGTTTTTGAGCTCCCTTTTGCTAGTTTGTTTGTTTGTTTGTTTGTTTTTGTCAGGAATAGAATGTCAGGAATAGAGGTGGGTATGAGTTACTATTTTCCCTAGTGTTATTAAAAGTTGAATCATTAATAGTTCAATTATTGATCCAAATAAGTTTTCTATAACTTGAGAGCGAAAAGTGTAGTTTTCACATGTTTCTAACCTATCATCATTCAACTAGTGATGGGTGGGAAAGAGATTCGAAAGCTCAAGAAAACGTGCACAGATTGTACTGTCCCTTATACGTCACATACAATTTGTACTGTTCTTTTACGAAAATAAACCAATGAAACAAAGCCTTCGAAATTCCTCACATGTGATACGCGAGCCTGTTCTTCAAAAGTGACTCCAATGACCCCCGTAAATGCTGTGCTGAAATCAAATGTAGAAAATGTAGTTTCACTATGCGCACGTTTTGTTGAACTCTCCCTTTGCTTGTAATGGTAGGAGAAGAGGTAAGGGCGAGTTTCTATTTTGTTTGCAATGCAGAAAAATCATACCTGCAATTCGTTTACCGAGTTTTCTATAACTCGGAAACGAAAATGTCTGTTTTTTTTGAAACATTGCTAATTTCGCGATCTTTAAAAATTTATTTTAAACTTTTACAAATCTTTTAACTATTTATAATTATAATGACGGGAAGGGATACTGGAACTTAAGAAAACGTGCGCAGATGATTTTATATACGTTACCTACATCTTTTACTGTTTTTTGAGTAAATACATCTAACTGCGTATTCACGATTAACATTTGTGTGTGCATGCGGGTACGGATTACAATATTTGAGTGCGTGTGAACGAGCGCGGAAAATATGCGCTAACGCCAGAGGTTTCGAGTGTTTGTGTGTGTGTGTGTGTGTGTGTGTGTGTGTGTGTGTGATGCTAGTTTTAAGTGGACCAAGGAGTGTATACGTTTATAATTTATGCAACAAATGTTGAAATTTAATTATTGTTAATTTTAATATATAGGGTGTCCAGGGAGGAAGCAATGAAGCTTCGTAAATAAGCTCTTTTAAGACAAGAAGCATATTTAGTCTAATAAACTCCTTCGATATTTTGAATGGCTGAACCGCTATAAGCAGTCACAATTTGGTTCGAAAGAATACTTTCTAAGCAAAAATTTGCATTTCAGGAAGAAAAATAGCACCCAATATACACAAATCAATTGCTTTGTTTTCGTGTTTATTTTTCTTTATGAGCAAATGTATTAATTTATTTTGTAAATAATAAACAATTTACATGATTCTGGAATATTTATATGTTTCTGAAATGCAAATATTTGCTTAAAAAGTATTTTTTCAAACCAACTTTTCTGTGCTTATTGCAGCTTTGCCGTCGCGAAATCTTGAAAGAGTTCATTAGACAAAATACGCTTCAAATTATCTTAAGAGCTTATTTTCGAAGTTTCGTTGTTTCCTCCCTGGAGACCTGTATATTAAAATTCAAAATAATTAAATTTCAACGATTGTTACGTAAATTACAAACGGATATTCTCCCTTCTACACTGGACAACGATGTGTAATAAAAAAATAAATTAATACAAATTGTTTGTACTGTAGTACACTATTTTTATTTACGAATGCGGGTGAGTGTACGCAAGTGTTGCGTAATTCGTGTCCTGAGCAATGCGCAAAGCGCTGACCGATCGTTGGGGGGCCTGTTTTCAGCCTGACGAACCAAGTGGTGGCCTTAAAGGAGATAAGACTGCAGGAGGAGGAGGGCGCCCCGTTCACCGCCATCCGCGAGGCTTCGCTGCTCAAGGAGCTGAAGCACTCGAACATCGTGACGCTGCACGACATCGTGCACACGCGCGAGACGCTCACCTTCGTCTTCGAGTACGTGCACACGGACCTGTCGCAGTACATGGAGAAGCACGGCGGCGGCCTGGACCAGCGCAACGTGCGCCTCTTCCTCTTCCAGCTGCTGCGCGGCCTGGCCTACTGCCACCGCCGCCGCGTGCTGCACCGCGACGTCAAGCCGCAGAACCTGCTCATCTCCGAGCTCGGGGAGCTCAAGCTGGCCGACTTCGGTGGGTGCGAGGGGGGGAAGGGAAAGACTTCACTCATGTGTCTGTATGTATGTCGACGCGCTGAATCCGAAGCCAGAATTGCCACAACACTGCAGTTTTTATTAAATTGCGATTCCCTCCCCCATAGAATTGTAGTTTTTTTTTTCGGGAGTGGTAGTCAGACTTGACACATATGTGTATCTAGGTATGTGAACGCGCTGAATCCGAAGCCAGAATTGCCACAACACCATGCAGTTTTTATTAAATTGCGATTCCCTCCCCCGTAGAATTGTAGTTTTTTTCGGGGGCAGTTGTCACACTTGATACATGTGTGTCTATTGTGTCGATGCGTTGAATCCGAAGCCAGAATTGCGACAACACCTTGCAGATGTTTTAAATTGCTAAACCCCATCCCCCCTGTGGAATTGTAATTTTTTTGTTGTTTTTTGTTTTCGGGGGTTATACTCAGTCTTGACACATATGTGTTTCTAGGTATGTCAACGCGCTGAATCCGAAACCAGAATTGCGACAACGCCTTGCAGTTTTTTATTAAATTGCAATTCCCTCCCCCGTAGAATTGTTTGGGTTTTTTCGGCGGTGGTGGTAGTCAGACTTGACACATGTCTCTCTTTGTATGTCGACGCGTTCTTTCGGTGCTGGTGGTGGCCAGACTTGACACGTGTCTCTTTGTATGTCGAAGCGCTGAATTCAAAGCCAGAGTTGCGTCAACACCTTGACATTTTTATTAAATTGCAATTCCCTCCCCCCGTATTTTTTTCGGGAGTGGTAGTCAGACTTGACCTATGTGTCTCCATGTATGTCAACGCGCTGAATCCGAAGTCAGAATTGCGAGAAAACCTTGCAGTTTTTATGAATTTGCGAAAAAATTACCGTGAAATTTACAATTTCGCGATTTTTTCCCCCTCGACATTTATAAAATACGCGAGGGTTATGGCGCAATTCTGACTTCAGATTCGAATTCAACGCGTTGACATACATAGAGAAGCATGTGTCGAGTCCGACAACAACACCCAAAAACAAATAAATACAATTACACGGGGTATCGCAAAAAAAAAAACTGGAGGGTGGTGGGGCAATTCTGACTTCAGATTCGGACTCATGGCTTCCCATACATAGAGAAACATGTTTCAAGACATTGGGTGTGACAACTTGTGTGCGTGCGAGCGCACGCGCGCCTGTGTAATAGAACATCCGATTGATTGATTAGTGATTTTGGGCGCGTCAGCTGCAAATATCGTTATTCCCGTAAGTTTAGTGCATGCTTTTATCTCGGGAGGTGGCGGCGGTGGTGTAACGGTTAGCGTACTGGACTGTTGTACCCGCCAAGTTGGCGGGTTCAAACCCGATCGAAGCCGTGGATTTTTAAGGGCGAAAAAATCCTTCGTACGCCTTCCTTCGGAGGGGAAGTAAAGCCGGCTGTCCCATGTTCGTAGATTTACTCGCATGTAAAAGATCCTCAAGCCTAAATGACGTAGCCTCTGAGCTAAATTCAAAAATCGCCTGTTTCTCGCCCAAGATACCTCCTTTCTCCGGTAGTTGGTGAAAGGAGCGTAGCGAAATTTGCGTGGTCAGACGGAAGAGCGGGCCTGATGGCCCGAGTCTCGCCACGTAAAATAAGGCATATTCAATTCAATTCAATTCAATCTTCCCCAGCTCAATAGCGAGATCCACTGCTGACCTACATGTCAACCAGCGGGGTTTTCCCCGACCAGGAATCTCCCACTAGCGGGGCACCGCTCCGGGTGGGACAAGCTCTAAGCTCCCGACATGTGTGGTGCATATGAATGTGTGTAAGTAAGGAGTGATATAGGACATGGAAGAGGAAGGAAAGCTCGCGCGCACTCAGTGACCAGTTTATTATAGTACTTCGCTTGGTGTGATCGGAGAAATCGCGGATAATTACCCCTAGAAGTCTCCTCCAGACCGCGGCTGAACTCTACCTTGCTTTTTAGGTAGTGAAGAAAATCCTACACTTTCGGGACTCAAACCCCATGACCTTCCTGTCAGTGGCATTGCATTGACATAAATTGATACCTAGAGCCTCCTAAGCCGGTAGAATGTCCGAATAAATATCCGTAACATTCAGTAACTATAATATAAACATGAAATTTGTATTGAATTACTAGCATTCTGTTGTATAATGTGTTATTTCGACATTCCCGGAAAGCAAACCCATAAATGCCATTAGTTTTGTTAAAATTGACTTCTATGAAATAAATTTATAAATAATTGTCACTATACTACATAAAATGTGAGCACTCATGAAAATTTTAAAGTGTTTACTTCAAAATTTTGTATGCATGCCCCAAGAAAAAGTTGTTAAAAGTTATTTTTTAACAGTTTTCTAATATGAATTTCTGAGACACATATCTTAATTGACAAGTTTTTGAAGTCAAAATATTAAAGTAATCTAAATTTCCTTTAAATTGTGATAACTTAATGTATTATCGTTAAATAATTACAATGTTAACATTTTAAAACTTCCTTATATGTTTAATGTTTACTTTTTGTCAAATTATGAACAATTTTAACATGTGATTCCTATAATTTATACTCATAATTATAGTGTAAAAACACTTAATTTATAGAGTTTACAACTGTTTATCAATTTCCTACCTGAAAGATGGCACTCCGTATTGTACAAAATGAGCTTTCTGGGACCTTTCATTACATTTGAGGGGTTCGGCTTTTATGTGTACCATCTCTTCATGGTAAGGGGCCGGCAGAGACAATCAGAATTGTGAAATCTTTGTTGATTTAAAATAGTAGACATTGTATGATGAATGTGTGTGTATTTCTGTTAATAATAAACATCATGATACAGGCTGATTCAGAATAAATTTTACAAGCTTCTATGGCTTATTGGGGGTCGAAGATAAGAACTTGTTTGGCAATGATCATGGTGAAAAATCTCTTGCAATGAAGTTACACATGTGGCATTTGCCCTTGATTGGTAGGCATCTCGTATTGAACTGGTGTTTGGCAGGTAAACGATATGTCTTTGACAAAGTCAGACCGTGGGTCTGTCGAAAATCGATACAAGAGGAGTTAGTTGTCAAAAAAAAGCAAATGTCGTATATAACACAATAAATGCCCTACCTCATGATCCTTGCCAAATATTCGTCCTCCCTAAATGCCCTGGAGGTTTGCAACAATTATTCCAAGACATGTTTATACCATAATTTAGTAATCTAATGTTCTTGGTTTAGAAGGACGAGTTTGAACTGAAATATCTGTAAGATTTGTCTTCAACATTTCTTGGTGTTCTTATGGTGATGATTAGAGACAGTTTTTCATATAAGTTCATATTTTTACTGGGGGCAAGATCCATTCAATATTTTTTTTTATACTTTACTGGACATTTTGAATGAATTAGGACTTTTTATTTTACATATTTTGGTGTAATTAAATACATTTTACATATTTCGCTTTTTTATTATAATAAATTACGTTCCCTTCAGATGAAGTTCAACAAATAATATGAAGAGTTATTTCGTGTTAATGGAATTTCATATGTATGAATGTATTGCATTTAACCATGCGTATAGTAATGGTTGAAGAAAATAATAAAATTTGACAGAACATAACGATGTCTATGTTTGTGTACTGATGCATTGTTTATGGGTTACCAGGTTTGGCAAGGGCAAAATCTGTGCCCTCGCACACATACTCCCATGAAGTGGTTACGCTGTGGTACCGACCACCGGACGTTCTCTTGGGGTCCACGGAGTACTCAACTTCGCTCGATATGTGGGGAGTGGGATGCATCTTTGTAGAGATGATCACTGGAGTGCCAACATTTCCTGGTGTACGTGATACTTACGATCAGCTTGATAAAATATTCAAGGTTTGTATGTGCTGTATATTTTTATTTTTTTATATGCCTGTTTGTAAATATATATTTCTAGCAATACAGTTAATACAGTAATTACAATGTTATTTACAATAAAATTGTAAAAGCATTTACATTTATTGATTGGTAATGTTTACATGATTGATTTATTACGAATGACTTTCACTTTTCTACTAAGTTCCATCTCAAACATGTTCAATTACAACATAGACTCTCATAATATCAGAGAAATTCACCCAACACTTTCCACAATATCCATTTAATTTAATGGTGGGTGAACCCAACGGATGTGTGTGTGTAACTGCATTTTGCTGGTATACTGTAATTTGCTGCTTTCCACTTTGTGTACATGTAACATCTCTATTGTTAGACGTTTTCTGTAGTAATCTTCTTTTTCCAATATTTTAACATCATTCCAGTACATTAGAATTCTTTAGTTCTAAAGAATGAATTCTAATTGAATAATCAATAGCATCAAAAATAGCATCATTCCCACAGATCACATTATGGTGTCCCTTGATATTAAAAACTTATTCACCAGCATCTCCCATTACCTTATTTGTTTAAAAACTCCCTATATTTCACACAAAATAGTGCCAAAACAATTCATATTTTCAAAAAATTGTAGAGACCAACCAAAAAAATGGCTGAAGGCCTAATTAAATTAAGTTAAGCCTAATTCTAAGTCCCATCTTTCTGCAAATTCTAGCAGTGCTTTCCGCAGGAAACTTGATCTGATTCTTTTGTAGGTAAATGTTTTGAAATATTCTCAACTAATTGCCAACGTCTGAGAAGCTGATAGGCTGGATATCATTCAAACATCTCTATCACGAATGTTCTCTAAAATATTAATTTCATCCTTAAGATTGAGATTATTGGCCTGGATTAATTTATTTATCTTATGAGATTATTTGCAGGTAGACTGCCCTTTGCCAGTTATTCCACACCCGTGTTTTTCGACCCGGCGTCCCTGGAAGCCTATCTCCGAGGCGGGTCTGGGGAATGTCCGTAAAGTTAGCATACCCACTTTTCACAATGTTGAAAAATTGTATCCCATAATTTTGTTCAAATTAAAGTCTAATTTATACC